CAGCCCCGACCCCCATCCCACAACACCACACCCCACCCCAAACCTCCACAATACCAATAGGCCGTCGATCGGAGGCTAGATCCGAATTCAACAAGAAGGCAAACAGACCCCTGAAAATCCACAACCACCGGCTCGAGAAGGCGAGACAAAGCGCAACATCTGGATGAAGGCCGAGCGGCCAGGGGCCGACCGCTGGTGAAGCCAAGCCGCCGCTAAGGAAGGAGGAAATCGAAAGTCCGACGGGCAAGGACGAGAGGGTTTTTCGAATTAGGGCCAGATCAAACCTTTAGATTAATAGTGAGTTAAAATTTATGTTTGTAACTTTTAAAATAAATTTTATTAAGCTTTTGCGTAAATGTAAATTATTGAAATAATTGTATTATAAGGTAATTTTATTAAAGATATTTAGTATTTTTTATTATAAGTACTTAAAAAATAATTTTTAAGAAAAGAGTATTTTGGTTTACAAAGTGAGTTGGAGTCTTAAATTGAGAAGTATAATGTAAAAGTAGACTTTAAATTGAAAATAACTTAAAATTGAAGCCCTCAATTGAAAAAGTTAAAAATTAAGAGCATGTTTGTATACAAAAAATTTCACTCAATGACGATTTTTTTGGTTAATTAGAGTTAATTTGGAAAAAGATGGTATGTTTAGTTGTTAGTGGAATTTTAGATTTATATTAAAATAAAATAATTAAAGTTGTTTGCTGTAAACATAGGAGAGAGATGATATAAAGTAATAGTTAGTGAAAATTATGTGATTGGATGGATAGTAAATTAAAGTAGATGTGATGTGTAAGAATGATTGGATGATATTATTTAATTATATTGATAATATTGAGAATATTGGAGTTGAGTTAAAGTTGAGTTAGATTTTGAGTTTAATGAAATTTTGAGTGAAAAATTTTGTATACAAAATAATGATTAAAGTCTCACAATGACATTTTGTATCAAGTCTCACAATGACATTTTTTCATTTAAAATATAATGATTAAAGTTAATGCGATATAAAAGTAGGAGAAAATTTAATAATATGTAGTCAATTGCGCGGTATATGTTTAAAGTGCAAAATGTCATCTGCTGCGCTTCACAAATCTATATTTGTATATATACTAAGAGAATAACTATTTGCTAATAAATAGTAAGCAAAAACATCTGCCAAAATTAATTGCATGCCACTTTGGGATTTTTTTTTTCTATCATAAAATCAGGCAGCATGTAATGCTCCCTTAAATGGTGGGGTTTGTTCATTTCAAATCATAAAATTGCAGCTAATGTTGGACTGGTTTTTCAAACATTCCTCTGATTTGTTCAAACATTCCTTAGAAGAAGGATTTTGTTCAATTTAAAATTTAAAAATCTCTACTTCAAATGTGATGATTATCTCTCCTTCAATTTATGATTCAATCCCTTATTACCATAATGTAATATATATATATATATATATATATATATATATATGGTCGCGCTCCGGTGAGAATGGTACTTCGTGTGAGAAATAAGAATAAATGGGATCCACAAGATCACAACAATCGCGCGACTATAGGTAATTCATCCAGAATAATTAACGCCATTACCTCGAGGGTATATTGGTAACTACTCAAAATAGCCAATGTCGGATAAAAATTATATTTGAGACCCTCACCTCATTCCCCTAGCTTAAACCACGAAACCCTCGCCTCAAAATCCCTAAGCTTAAATCCCCTAAACTCAAAATCGCCTATTTTTTTTTGTTCTTCAGTTTTTTCGTGGGTTTGATACGGTAAATTTGTGAGTTGAACCAATGATGGAATCGAATGAATCGCAAGCAGGTACTGATATGAAATTTTTACAGAATGATTTAGACACTTTTATTCATCTTTTGATAATGTGCAATAATCAATCATATTGTGTGCAACATTTGTTCACAAATGTGCAATTGGTGTGCTTGGATTACTAATACTTTATGATTTTTTATTTTTTTTTTTTTCACGTGACTCATTAAGACAATCAGGAACCAATTACACATTAGCACATCTCAATCACACCAGGGGGAACAAAATATTGGATCCCACAATGTGACAGAGCAATCAAACCTTATCAGGGACAGCGATTTCGAGAACTACATGAAGCGATCAGCTTCTACAAGAATTAAGCGTTTAGTGTTGGTTTCGATGTCAGACACAACGCCTTGGTGAAGGCACGTGACAAGACGATCCTTTGGAAATACTTAGTGTGCTCGCGAGAGGGATATAAGAAGAATCATGCACGTGGTGAAGGACATGTGATGAGACGTAGAGTGTCCAACCGGGTAGGTTGTAATGCCAGAATCATGATCCGGGTTGATGGATTGAATGGATATATCGTTAAAACATTTGAGGAGAAACACAGCCACTCGATGACGTCTGAAGGTTGCAGATCGCAAATGAAGATCAATAGAGCAATGAATGCAGGGCATCAATCATTAGTACTGAATTGCATAAAAGCCAATATAGAGCCGGTCAAGTCATACCGTTTGTACAAGGAAGTAGTTGGAGGGTATTCGAATATCGGCGCCACCAGCGTGGAGTTCAAGAACTTCAAACGGGATCTCCTTGCGTACATATCAGGGGCTGATGCACGATTGGTCATTGATAAATTCTATAAGCGCCAAGAAACAATCCCCGCCTTCTACTTCCACTATGAGCTTGATGATAGCGACTGCCTGCAACGACTTTTTTGGGCTGATCCGACTTCGAGGAGAAACTACTGTTATTTTGGCGATGTTGTATCATTTGACGCGACATACCGTACCAACAGGTGAGCACAAGTTTCATGTGAACAGAATTATTGCGAATTATATAAATTCGATTCATATTTCATATGATCGGTAATAAGTGAAAATTATATACATTTCCACGTTATATACAGTTGCACTGACTCAAACTAATTAAAATGTAGGTACAACATGGTTTTTGCACCTTTTACTGGAATAGATAACCACAACAAGTGTGTCACGTTTGCGGCTGCATTAATATCAAAGGAAGACGTCGACTCTTATGCCTGGGTGTTCGAGAATTTTAAAAAAGCCATGATTCACGAGCCTCGATACATTATAACTGACCAAGATCCCTCGATCGGCATTGCATTTCCTAAAGTGTTCAAGACCTGCAAACACTGCTTCTGTATGTGGCACATAATGGCTAAATTGTGCGACAAGGTGGGCCATTCTTTGAATAATGATGTTGATTTTAAACGAAAGCTTAATGGGATTGTCTGGGATCGAAATATAAATCCTGATGAGTTCGAAGAAAAATGGGCTGCAATAATGAAAGAATATGCATTGGATACGCACAATTGGTTTAAAGACCTGTTCGCAAAAAGAGAATATTGGATCCCAGCCTTCTTCAGGGATGTCGAAATGGGCGGTTTAATGAGGACGACATCGAGATCGGAGAGCGAGAACCATTGGTTCGGCCATTTCACGAGCAGTCATTCTAGCTTAGTAGAGTTTTTACTACACTTTGACAGTGCCATGGACGCGCAACGGAACACGTCAATTAAGCTGCAGAATGACAGTGAGTCGCAAATGGCAAAATTGAAGACGCAGTTGTCGATTGAAAAGCATGCGATGTCTATTTACACGACAACGTCTTTCTACCTTGTGCAGGATGAGATATGTGCAGCATGTTTCAATTGTCGTGTAATGAACGTTATGAGAGAGATGGGCTTATGGAATTCGCAATCAAGGATACCGATGGTAAGATGTTCACAGTCATTCATGATGTTGCTCTAACTACGTCTTCATGTTCGTGCAAACACTTCGAAATGTATGGATGGCTGTGTAGACACGTGTTCATTGTGCTTAAGGACCTTAACTTTAAATTTATTCCATCGGCGCATATTGTGTCAAGATGGACGAGGCAGCCTGCTATTAATCCAATTTTCGATATTCTTGATGGTGCTGATACACAATGTGCTCGAGTTGATGATACGAAGCTCATGGTGAACAAGTTGTAGTCCGATATACATGCATGCATGGGGTTGGCCGAGCCACATATTAATCGTCTTATTGAATTTTCCAAGATAATCGAAGACTACAAGAATAAGATGTTGTCTGTTCATGGAATGGATACAGCGTCCATTGGAAAAAAACAACAACTGGAATCATTTGTTGGGATGGCGGCTCCTCGAGAGATAAACGTTCACCCCCCGGCACGTTCCAACAACAAAGGCGGCGGAAAAAGATTAAAGAGCGCGAAGGAAAATGCAGTCGAAGGATCACAAAAGAAGCGAAGGACTTGCAAGACGTGCGGTGAAATAGCGGGACATAATACACGCACATGCCCTAAGAAACGTCAATTGTGCATCTCAGCCGACAATGAGGTAAATGCGAAAAACGTGTTGAAGCAATTGTTTAGTCGATATTGAAATTAGTGTTTCATTATTATACATTTTGCATTTTGCATACCACCATAGGAGCATTTGTACACACACAGCCACAAACATACTAACATATTTACAACACGTCAATTATTCATCATACATACGAATTTTTCCAGTAATATCATGTGCGAGATGAAAATACTAACATATATTTGAATTTATGCACAGGAACAGACAACGGGCGCGTGATGTTTTTTTTTTTTTTTTNCAATGCTGGTCATTTTTTTTTTCTAAGCGATATGGACATTTGTTTATTTAGTTGACGAATACCGTTGTAGTGGCAGTATTGACGTTACAATTGATTTATGATGACCATTATAATGATAGACACGTTTTTTCGAATTGTTAAGGGTTGCAGTTGGTGTAATCTTTACCGATTGGATACTATGTATGATGCACTTTATAATACAACTCAGTGCACATTTGTTCATATGTTTTTGCACATTATGAATATTACTCCATAACGTTACATTCTTGATACTATGTATAATGCACTTTATAATACAGGCCAGTGCACGTTTGTTCATATATTTTTGCACATTATAAATATTAGACCATAACATTACATTCACTCGATGATCCTTGCCGATTGGATACTACGTATAAAGCACTTTATCATACAGCCTGATGCACATTTGTTCATAAGTTTTTGCACTGTATGAATATTAATCCATAACGGTATATTCAATGGTATAGTACATGTATTACGTTGTAGTGTATAATATGGTGCGTTTTAGTGTACAATATAATAATAACAACAATAAACAATAACCTGGGAAATTCAGAAATTCGAAAACCGTATGGTTATATAATTCATAGTAACACACTGCACATTAATTAATTGATCAATGCACTTACTAAAAGGTCAACGAGCACGATATATACAACTTCTGAATTCTACATTATACAACACGCGTATCATATCAAACATGGCCACGTGAATAATCGTGCAAACATAACGAACAACATTGGCAATAAAAAAAATTAAGCAACCAAAATCAATTCAAACATAAGCTCTACACCGGCTGATCAACACACGTATATAAAAGTCGATCGTCGACCAACACCAACACGTAACAACTCAGAAGTGTACCAAGGCATTCATTATAAAACATTATACACAAACAAAAATAGTATTTCTTTTTTCTTCTTTTTTCATACATCCCAGAAAATTGACTAGCAACAAAAGGGGCAACACCAAAATCGCATCGGTAATCACCATATAATCAAAACATTCAAACCATGTGCTGATTCGCCACCAACATCCAAAACATTCAAAACATGTACTGATTCACCACCAAC